ATTTCTATTCTTCTTGAACTGCTTTGCGTGTCACTTTATCGTATATTGTTTTGCATGCCTCGGAAATGAGTTTCATACCTCGATAATAATCAATGCCCAGAAGTCGGAAAGCAAGAATCATGCGACGATTTATTTCATATGTTCGGTTACTGTAAGGCGAGGATCGAATCGCACTTTGGCCACATTTGCAGTCTAACAAAATTTTAAACCCCAAGCCATTGAGATCCCCTTTTCTAAATTCTATATTTCCCTGACGCTCTCGGCAAACCACAAAATTACTGAGCGCAGTAAACACCATGGCGAAATTTATCAAACAGTTATCAACGTTTGAAATAGGGACTCCATCGTCAGAATCATCACCTTTTCTCAACTTTTTTGCTGATGCGCTCTCTGGTGAACTTGTAGTTGAGCTTGAAGCACGTTTTTTTCCATGATAGTATCGTTTTTTCCATCTCGATGGATTGACACGATTCGTACGGGATCCTTTTCTATCCATATTTCACTAAAAGTCAACACTTCGCCTGAGAGTTCAAAATAGACTATCGCCTTAGTCAAGAAAATCCACCTCAGACAAATTTTGGGGAAACAGGTATGAAATTGTGTCAAAATAAGCCTGCCCTTGCTCCCGAGTTCGGGGATTTATCGGCCCCATCGGAGGGATCCTATTGTTGAGTGGTGCAACGCTGGAACACCTGCCTACCTGTGCGCGCTCGGCTTCAAACCCCCGTATCTCGGGTATTTTTGTGAATTTCATGAAAATTCTTTTTGTAATAGATTTTTAAAAGAATAGGGAAAAATAAAATGTAAGAAAAAAAATCGATTTCTTGAACCGCTTAAGGCAAATACTCCCTCAAATCTCCTGTATATCATAACCCAGCATAGAACCTCATTCAGAGTGGAAGATATAAAACGACGTCATTCAAGTATGAAAATTAGTTATTCGACAATATTTCGGAAGGTAAAGGAGATGGAAAGATTTTTGTAATAACCTTTTTGGTAGACCTCATTCTTCTCTGCAGAAAAGGTCTGTTTGAAACGTAGATATATCTATCAGTTAAACGGTCGGTCCTGCCGACAATCCTCGAGCACTCTGGGGAACCTTCGGTTGAGCGGTCAGGGAATCGCAATCACCACAGTTATCAGTTAAATTTCGATTATTATTAGTGATTCAATGTTATTAAAATTGCAGACAATTAATAGTGATATTAAGACACTTAATAGTGAAATTTAATACCAATGAGTGTATAAAGAATTTATTTAACGACGTGGTTCGATCCCACAATAAACGGCGATTTTTATAATCCCTCTCAACAATTAATTTTCTAGCATCTCCCGCCACATTTTCTTCCACATCCACCCTAAACCTAGTTCCTCACCAAACAGTGGTCCTTCGAGCCGGATAGTGGGTTAAAAAGTGTGATAAGTACTGTGAATTTTACAAGAACGCCTCGTGGTGAATAGACTTTCGGGCTTCACAGGAGCGACTCAACGGACAGGGTAAAAGGATAGTGACTTTGTTTACATTCCACGGGGTAAGGAAGTAAACAAGGTTCCAGTGCAATTTCAGTTTCCAAATCGGGAGTGTTCGTGAGTGTCGAGGGTCGTCGAAGCCCATCAACGCTTCGTCCCCGTGCGCCACGCAAGGGGCGACTCACCGAACGTCTGGCAGTCGGTAACTCGTCAGCCATCAGTAGCATCTCAATAGCCGATATATTACCAATATCGAGAACTTAGCGCAGATCATCACCATGGTAGACGACGCTCAGGTCAACGACCCTACTGAAGAAGTTCAACAACAAGAGCGCAACACTGAAGAAATTTCGCAGATCACACCTGATGAGGGACTGTCAACTAGAAATGAGGCAGTTCCAAACCAGCCGATCACCAATCAGGATAAGCTCGACAAACAAAGTGTAACCTCAATATCAACAAAGCCAGGTTTCACCATGCAGCAGGAGAGCCATGTAAGACTACTTACATTCAAGGTAGAGACCCTGATGGAGATTTACCACGAACTCTCTCAAGAGCTCGACAACGAGGATGATCTCATCATAAAGAAACTGGACGGGCATAAGGAGATTATCGAAGCGGAATGGAGTAAATATTTCAATATTTACACCAGTCCAGCCGAGTATCTCCCCTCCAATCATGAGTATATCACCGAGGGGGTGCATGAACGAGCCACAAGGACAAGGCGAGAAGCCTTGATGCTCATCACTCGATTGAAGGGTCAACTGGTGAAGAAGAAGGACTCAACCAGCACCTCACTGGAACAGAATCAAGCCAATCAGCTGAAACGCCTTGAAATCAAGGCATTTGATGGGCAACCTGAACAATGGAAAGAATTCAGTGACCTCTTCCAGTCATTGGTGGGCAATATTCCTTCGATTCCCCCAGTGCAGAAGTTGGTTCGCCTGAAGAGTTATCTCAGAGGTCCAGCAGCAACTCTCCTCTCGACCTTCCAAGTCAAGGACGAGAACTAGGACGAGGACTGAAAGCCTGGCAGAAACTCACCAAGAGGTATGAAAATCAGAGGCTCATTGTTCAGTCGATTGTTGTTCAGTCGAGTTCTAGAGCTTCCGATAATCACCAGAGCAACTGAAGAGAACCTCAGCGCCAAAGCTGCAGTAGTCATGGAGACTCGAGCAACTGCAGGATGTGACGAGATTGACACAGGAGAATATCCCCGAGCAAATGATAGCCCACTTGCTGAGAAGATCACTCGATGCCGAGGCTCTGAAGGCATGGGAGCTCAAGATGGGAGCCTCTAAGGATTTTCCCACTCTCACAGAATTGTCAACATTTATCGAGGCTTGTGCGAGAGGATCGCGCAATTGAATTACATCACCATCAGCAGTGGAGGGGCATCCAGGAACTACAGGATTAAGAGTTAAATATCATCTTCCATTTATTATTATATTGGCAAGTGATACGTCTCTCACCCTATGTTCCTCCCCTTAGCCATCAACAACAACGAGCAGCTGATGGAGCTTTACCAAAGTTCAGCGACCAGGAAATATGCAAATTTAATATAATCAATTGTATACAAATTCAGGAGCTATCACCATAGATGATCAACAACTGTGGGGCACAGTTAAATCTCCGGAAATCAACAAAAAGGTATCAGAATTTCCAGAAGCCTCTTCAGCATACTATCTACTGCAGAATACGCCCTGGAAGAAGACGTTATCAGCCAGAAGCTGTGTCATATTAAATGACTCCAGCCCAAAGTTATCAACAGCAGTACATCAGCATTCAGTAGACGAAAATTATCCTGAAGCAGCAGAAAATCTCCGAGAGCAAACTCACCAATTAATTCATCATCTCTGATGATGAATGCTCCCGGGGTGTTTGAAACGTAGATATATCTATCAGTTGAACGGTCGGTCCTACCGACAATCCTCGAGCACCATCGGGAACCTTCGGTTGAGCGGTCAGGGGATCGCGGAACCCCCGAAAAGTAGTTGAAATCTAGCTGTTGAGAAGATCGCATGGGTATTTAATTGTAGCTATTCGTTCAGTACATCACCACAGTTATCAGTTAAATTTCGATTACTATCAGTGATTCAACGTAATTAAAATTGCAGACAATTAGCAGTGATTTTAAGACACTCAATAGTGAAATTGAATACCAAAGAGTGTACAAAGAATTTATTTAACGACGTGGTCCGATCCCACAATAAACGGCGATTTTTATAATCCATCTCAACAATTAATTTTCCAGCATCTCCCTCTACATTTTCTCCCACATCCACCCTAAACCTAGTTACGCACCAAACAAGGTCGTTACCAAGAAATCGATATTTTATTTCAATGCTGAGATATTGTGAAAATTAAGTGGCAACTGAATCTGGAGATAATTTTCCAATGAATATCTATGAATATGGGATAGATGAAAAAATTTTCATAGAAGCTTTTTTATAGAACGCATTCTGCTCTATAAACAAGATTTGTTTGAAATGAAGATCTAATTTTAGAGTGGATGTGGGAGGTGTGGTTTCAGGATAGGCCGGAAATTAATTAAAGAACTGAATTATAAAATGTCACTATATTTTAGTGGAATCGAACCACTTCGTTAACCGTAAAATTTACACTTTGGTTTGAACTTGGTTATTCGGCGTCTCAAATTATAATTACAGTGGTTGATGTACTGAATTGTTAAATACCTGTTAATTGTTCTTGACAATTAACTGATGAATCCCTGAATTTGACAAGGTGATGTACTTTGAACGACACGACACGTTGATTCTACAAAGACTGATGATGTGCTGAATTTTGGGGTTTTCGCAATCGTCTGACCGCTCAACCGAAGGTTCCCGATGGCGCTCGAGGATTGTCGGTAGGATCGACCGTTCACCTGATAGATATATAGCTAGATATATAGATATATAGTTTCAAACAAAATTTCTGTAAATCTCCTTTAGATTTCGAGATATTTCTGAAAAACTAATTTTTTGGAAGGATAAAATTTTGTTTTTCTCTGCATTTCACTCCTGAGTTTGTGAGTGTACCAAACATAAATGTCTTATAAAAAATATAAAAAAAGTTTAAAAATTTTGAGGCCATTTTTCATATTCAAAATTGGCGGATTCTCTCATATGGAATTATGTATAGTGCGATAATATTGTTAATATTCGGTAAATTTCAAACCCAAAATAAGCATGATAGCATGAACAATGACGTTGCTGCAGCAGACCGAAGAAAAATAATTTAACCTTAGTTTAAATGGTAGTTGCGGTGACAAAAACGTGAATTCTCGGAAACTGGAATCGACAAATCGGGCCCTTTTCATGTAGACATTCACAAATAATAGCAGAAAGAATACACTTTAGGCTTCATACCATATCGATCATATTATTTTTTATTCAGTAAAATCCATCAAATTGATATGGTATGGAGTATCACAAGGGCCCCATATATGAGAGGTTGATGAAGCGTTCCTCTCATTTCTTTATCTTCTTCTGCTTCATTTCTGAATTTTTCCTTGTTCATTGTTATAGAGTTTATCACACTGTGAGCTCATAACTGATGAGGGGATTCGACAGCTGGCTCTGTCCCCCTGTGCTGCTGAAAATCTCGCTGTTCTAGAGCTCGACAACTGCCCATTAATAACAGACGCCAGTCTGGATCATCTACTCCAGGCCTGTCATAATCTCGAGCGTATCGAGCTATACGATTGTCAACTCATCACAAGATCTGGGATACGTCGACTTAGAGTAATAGCCTTCATTATTTTCTATCCATACCGAAGAGATTCAACTTTGAAGAATTTTCTGAAAATAATTAGGTGGAACTTGAGATGAAAATTAGGGGGCAGGTTATTCAACCTCCTTTAGCGTAAAGCTTCATTAGCTGAAGGAACGTTAACTTCAAAGTGCCTTCAACTTTTTGTGCGCTATCCTTGTCTGACTCCCGCACTGTAATGGGCACAGCAGCGCTGGTAGTTCTTAAAGGCACAGTTAAAGGATAGTTGTAAATTGTTAAGGCCCGCATGGAGGGATTTTTTTCCCGAGTGGCGATTTTACGCCCCCCCACTTTAAACTGCGGGAATGGCAGGAAACCAGGGTGACATATAAAAGTGGGACTTGGAAGGGGCCCCGCAGTTTTTGTTTCTTATTCTCTTCGTGTTTATTTTCTCCGGTAGATCTTATCATGTTTCCTATGAAGTTTTCGAGAAATATTTCCGACTTTCTAGAGAATTCTCCGATTTTTGAGAAAATTCCGGAAAATTCGGTTTTTGAAAAAATTAGAGGGGGGTGGGGTAATATGGACATATGGGGTAAAATAAACACTCAAAAATTTGCGAAAAAAAAGGTTTTTTTTCAACTTCAAATTTTTGGAAATCGTTTCATTGGGCATTATGGACACCTGATAAATCTATATGGACGGGACCAAAATGAACACTGAAAACATTTTCAATAATTGATTTTTAAAAATTACTTTTTGGCAAAGTCCACAACTGAGAACTTATTCAAGAGTGGTGTAAAATGGACATCCGAAAAATTTGGTCCTATCCAAAAATAAAGAAAATTTTTAAAGGACATTTTCCAACAGAATCGTGTCGGTATCTTTTTATAAAGAAAAATTAGAGTTGGGAAAGATATTAACAAACAACCTTCGACCCTATCAAATTTTACATTGAAGTTTGAAATATAAAGTAGCTTTGAATTTACTGTTTTACTCGTGAAATAACTTTGAAATTATTAATTTTTTTTCAATGATCAATTGCACGCCTTACACATCTGACCTTTTGTCCATTTGCGAAATTTGTAAGATGGCTACTTTTCTACTCACAGAGGAAATCACCATAAAACAATAGGCGGAGAGGAGGATAAATGAGCAAGGAAAAATTTGATTTACAACCCCTCACGACGAACGTCAAAAATAAGTTTTTTTTTTCAATTTGAAAATCGCAATCATGTCTAGCGTTTCAGAAATTGAATAAAATTGTTGAAACATAAAAAATTGAGAAAGAAATCGAGGTGTCCATTTTGCCGATTTTTCTTACGACGCAGTCTTATGAGAATCTGTTGGTTTTTATGACCTTCAAATGAAGTCGGAAGAGTAGATTTGATCGAATTCAACTCATTATTTAAATCTGGTGTCCATATTGCCCCATCCTCCCCTATAATAATATCTCGAATTTTCCAAAAAAAATCGAGGAAATTCTAAGGTGTTTGAGAATGTTTTAGAAAATTCTTAGGTTTTCGAGAAAATTCTAGGGAAATTCTTCGGTTTTCGAGAAAATTATAGGGATATCCTTGGCGGACCAAGTTGATAGTTGGACTCTCCATAATTTCCTGTGTTTGAGAGAAAATTGAGAATCAGCTGAGAGTCGGAGTGACGAGGCCAAAAATACATTTTATGCAAACCGATCTCTTTACTATCGATTTTTTTTAACCCGTCAATAGGCGCGCCATTTCACCACCGTTCTTGAGACGCGCGATGAGGGAATCACTCATCGGCTTCTCGTAATAATAGAGTCAAATATCGCCATAGGCGGCGCTGTTCGGCGTGCTGCGGCACGGACCCCATACCCGTAACACGTGGAAAATTTCGACCGAGCCGAAGAAAAAATTCTTTTTTTACTCAACCCTGACCAATAGACGACTCTTATCATCACGAGAGTCAACTAGAAGAGTTACTTGAGGCATATAAAAAAAATTTAGCAAAATATTTGCGCTTTTAGAGTATATTTCCTATGGAGTGAAAAATTTGGTGAGGGAATCGCTCATAGCGCGCCTACTGACAGGTTAAAACAGACAATTGAATTTGTTATTTTTAGTGACTTCTTCAATTGTATTTCGCGCCTCTTCCTCGAGATCAAATCGTAGTACCCCCTACTTTATGCCGATAGCGCCACAACTTCAAAGTCCAAAAGATTTTCGATGTCATCCATCTTGGTTTGCGTGGCCTCATTCTTCTTCTTTGTGCCGAACACGTCACATGTCGAAAAATTTTGCAAATTGAAGAAAATGTCTAACAAAAGAAAGAAGCAGTCACATAGTGATGAAGATGGAGAAAAGTACATCAGGAAGGAGTTGGAACGATCGAGGAAGATCGTAGAACGACAAGCTCGAGAAAATCCGTCGAAAAGTCGTGGTAAGTTTTCAGGTTAAACCGTGGGCGTGGGCAGAAGATTCAGGGAAAATTGTCCTTCACCAATTGGCATGAACACTGTCAAGTTGTTGTCAATCGACGTTTTCGAGCCCCATAAAAATCCCAAGGATTCTGCACATCCGGGATTACACATAACCTCTATCAGGTCGATATGCAATCGATACTGGTATGAATTCAGCTCGTGTTTTTTGGTTCAACCAACTCACGATGCAAGCGAAATTCGGATTAATTTCGTTATTCCCCACATGCAGGTCATCAACGAGAACATTCGTATTACGACGACGAAGTCCACCCTCATAGACGATACTACCATCACCGTGATTATTCTGATCGACGCTACAGTCGAAGTGTAAGTCGTAACCATAGGGACAGTAGCAGTCGTGAACGTAGTAGGAGCCCACACCGTGGTCACAGTCATCGAAATCACCGAAGAAGTCACTCTCAACGATCATCAACCGACAGATCAAACTCGCCAAAACAGCCAACACCACGGTCATCAAGGAACGAAGAAGTATCGGCGATTCCTCAGGACGTGGCACCAGCCCCAATAACGTCTGAGACAGGAGAACCAGAGTTGGATCCTGATGTGCTGGAGGCGTTGGGTGATAGAATTCACCTTGATAGAAAACTCGCGCCTCCAGTTCATTCTAAAATTGCTGGTGGAGTGGAGGAGGCCATTAAAAAAGGAGTTCCTCTAGAAAAACGCAAGGACTTGATTGAAAAATTTGCATCCCCTGAAAATTGTCTCTTCATGGATCCTCCGCTGCTGAATGATGCAGTAAAAACGTCTCTTGAAAAATCAATCTTAAAACGCGACGGTAGGATTCTTATGAAACAAAATCAAATAACGGCTAGCCTGGCCGGGTTGTTGAGTGTTATTGCTCGAATATCTAATGCAAAAGAAGATCAAAAGCTCCCAACAAAGGAACTTGTCGAGTCCCTGTGGGGAGTTTTGCATTTAGTAGCAGATTTACAACATGAGGAATCAAACATTCGACGAGGGCTAATTTTGAAAAATGTTAAAACATCATTGAGAGATACTCTTGCTGCTACAACTGTCGACAAGTTCTTATTTGGTGACAAGCTGAACGATGTGATCCGACAGGCGAAGTCGATGATGGCAGTAGGAAAAAGTCTCAAGCCTGATGACCTGCAACAGGAGCAGCAGAATCAGACAAAAAACTCGAGAGGCCCGCCGCGTTACCCGAAGTTCAAGTCATCTCGCAAATGGACGTTGAGCGGGCAGAAACAGAGTCGGAAATCGAACACTTATCAGCCCCATCAGAATCGTCGACTGTCTCACGACAAGGGTCAGCACTCCTCAACGAGGAAACGTTATTAATAAACGTAAGTGTTTTAGCAGGGAAACTTAGGTTTTTTCGTAAAAACTGGTTAGCAGTGACATCGAAAAAACTTATTCTGAGTTGGATCAGCGCATATGAAATTCCCTTTGTTAAACGAGTATGTCAGCCAGTTCCTCCATGTGAGCCTCAGTGGTCTTCCAATGACACCAGGATTATTCAGGAACAGATTAGCAAATTAGTAGAAAAACATGCAATTGAGCAGGTTAGCGAGGAAAAAGACCAATTTATTTCCAAAATATTTTTGGTACCGAAGCCGGACGGGAGTTTTCGATTAATTCTAAATTTAAAAAAATTTAATAAATTCATCAGAACAGACCATTTTAAATTGGAAGACGAGAAGGTAGTTCGACGGCTCATAACCCCTAACTGTTTCATGGCATCAGTTGATTTACAAGATGCGTAAATCATGCGTATTATTTGGTTCCAGTTAAAAAATCAAATCGTCGTTTTTTAAGATTTTATTTCCAAGGAAAACTGTTTGAATTCACGTGTTTACCTTTCGGATTGTCCACTGCGCCTTACACATTTACCAAACTAATGAAGCCAGTCATGTCTTATTTACGAAATCTGGGATATACATCAGTGATATACTTGGATGATATTTTATTTATTGAACCTTCCAGGGAAAAATGTCAAGAAAGCGTAGAAATCACTAGTCGATTGTTAAGAAATCTAGGTTTCATTATTAATGAGAAAAAGAGCAAGAAGACACCATCAACCAGGTGTAAATTCCTTGGAAACATATACGATTCGAACAAAACGGTTATTGAACTCCCTCTTGAGAAACAAGAGAAAATGAAAGTAAAAATTGAAAAGTTGATGTCTATCAAAAAATGTAGTATCAGAGAATTCTCGTCTTTCGTCGGTTCATTGGGGTCTTGCTGTTTGACTTTAAAATATGGGAGAGTTTATATGCGAGGGTTAGAACGCGAAAGGTATTTAGCCCTACTCCGTAATAACGGAAATTTTGAGGCTTCTATGGAAGTGTCCCCAAAGTTGAAAGACGATTTGCTCTGGTGGGATTATAATATAATTAATGCTAAAAATAAAATTAGAAATTTCAAACCGAAAATTGAGATTTTTTCCGACGCATCTTTATCAGGCTGGGGGGTTTACTGTCTTAAAGAAAAAGCTCATGGACATTGGAATGACGATGAGAGAGTCTCACATATTAATTACTTGGAGCTGCTGGCTGCGTGGTTTGGACTAAAATGCTTCGCAAGTGAATTAAA